AGCAGGAATCACTGACAACAAGAACCAAAACTAAGATGTACTTCCTGGACACTGAAGAATCTCTTCAACTTCAGTTTACTCTTATTCTCCCTCCAGCTTCTTTTCCCTTAGTACCTTATTAGATCATTAAAAGGCATCAATTAATCTAATCTTCAGCATAAATATTCTGTGGCATGCACTGCTGCAAATACAACCACATCACTATTTTTTCTTTAAAAAACCTCAATGTTATGTTTAGAGTATTTTTTCTATCAACTCAAAATTCTGAGAACATAATGGTTCTTTTTCTCATTATGTTAAACAATCTCTAGGCTTAAGTGAATATATACACCTTTATTATTTATGTGCTTATTTATATAGTGTCATGCTCACATTGATGCAATGGTACTCACCTAATGGATTTTGCTGGAGGCAAAATTTTGCTAATCATTGAGTAAATAGCTAATGATGGATTTCTGCTGCAAATGTGATAGAAAGATAAGCAATTGGCTTGTTACCTGCAGCATAGTGTCCAGGTCAGCCATATTTAACCAGAAATGGACATGCAATGTTGTGCTTGATATGGCGGAGACAAATCAAATGCTGTACTTCAGATACTTCTGTGATGTTTTTTCTCCCTATTTCTCTTACTAACCTCTCTGAAACATGGCCATGCTGATAGGGCACTAGGATGTTAATCAAATGGTTTCAAGTCCCTGCTTTGGGTTCAGTATTAGAAAGTGCAATAAACCATCAGAGTAAAGGATTTTTTTTAATTTATTTTTTTTTTAATTATCAACATTGATGCAACTGAATCTTGGTCAGTAATTTCAGGGCTAAAAGAAACCAGAGGCATCACTTATGTGATTTTCTGTATATGTCACTGTTTGACTCAGGTTTGACAAAAATGCTTTTTTCACCGAGGGAAGGAGAGAGAAAAAGAGATAGACTTGGTTGGATTGCAAACTAAACTACACAGCTTTAATTAAACACTAATGATATAAGAAAATATATACAATTATATACAAATATGTTCAGGCATGTGCAAAAGCCTCTTGCCTCCCCCCACCCCCAGCAACGCCCACAGCATCTCCTGAGCTGTGAACAGTCCCAAATAGTTCCAGACTGCTGCCAAAGAGAGAGCAGAGTGACGAGGGTCAGGAGAGCTTGAGCCTGGGGGTTGATGGTGATGGATGGATGGAGTCCCCTCCGGACACCGGCCACGGACGGAAGAGAAGGGAAGAAGGAGCAGGAAGGAAGTTGTCTTCAGTTATCTCTGAGCTTCCGTAGATATATGGAATGGAGTATCTTTGGCCAATATTGCTGTTTGTCTAACTCAGCCTCCTACAGGGGGGTCATAGATCTCCCTGGAGTGTCTGAGCCAGCAGATTAAAGGTGTGACCTTGTAGTCCCAACAGTTAGAAAAACATTCCACTGTTATCATTCCCAGCTGGAACACTCTGGTGCTAGTTAAAAGAAAGCTTACTGAAGGGAAAAAAAAAATCAGAAAAAGGAAAATTGTCTTCATCCTGGCTCAAACCAGGACAGTATAGAAAAGGGAAAAAATTGTCACCTATTTTTACATCAAAACTAAAACTTCTACTTAAAACACAGTTTAAGTTACAAATACACAGATAGTGAGTTTTGCAATGGGTTTTACACAAGGAGAAACCAGCAATGAACTTCACCATAGTTTCTTGAGGGTGTGTGTCTTTGGTGTGTAATTCTACCTCGAGCAGTAACCCAAGGTCTCTCACACTGTGATAAAACTCTCTGCATGACAAATGCATAAGCTCAAAGCCAGAGCTGTGCTTACCAGCCAAGCAGTGAACACAACCATGTGCTGGCTGACCAGCTGTGTAACACCTGTGATTTGCCTTCCTTTTCTTCTCTCACGTGGAATGCCTTTTTTTCCCCCCTGAAGTTGCACGAAGGTAACCTTCCAGGGTTTGTGCATGTTTGCAAACACGGTTAAGTAGGCCCGCATGTTCAAAAGTCCTTTGAGATTGACAGGATGAGTGGAAAAGGAAACATCCAACACTGCAATTGCTTAAGCCTCATTTCCTTAGATAAAGAGATAAAAAGATTATTGAGCACAGTGTGAGCTAGATAAGGATCTTTCTCAATTCACTATCTACTGCCAGCAACAGCTGCACATGTTATTTCCAAGCGTTGGTGTGTTGAGGAACACTGGGCTGCAGGTCCGTGTGACTTCGCTGGAAACACTCAAATGAGTTAATTGCTTAAGTCTATAAACCAGCCACCTTCCAATCTGCTGGACGCGGTTTTGCAGTCCCGGTTTTCAGTCGGGGGGGTTGATGACACGTCTGACAGTCCTGGGGACACGGGCCGGACAGCCCGGGCTGGCTGACAGCTACACCTTGTGTGGGACTGACCCCGGTACGTGCCCCTCCCGTTTCTGCACCGCGGCACCGGCGGGCGGGCCCGGCAGCGCATCCCGTCCTGTCC